AATCTCCCCCTGCCAGAACGGATTGTTCGTTACACGTATCCTATGCTCGGAATCAACCTTGTGATTAAGGGTAACCCGCCTCCACGGCCCTCCCCTGGGTCCCCAGGGAACCTCTACGTGTGCAACCACCGGACCGCCCTTGATCCCATCGTTATTGCCATTGCGCTTGGACGCAAAGTTTCCTGCGTGACTTACAGCGTCAGCAAGTTATCACGCTTCCTGTCACCAATCCCAGCTGTGGCCTTAACACGAGATCGTGTGGCTGATGCTGCCAGGATCAAGGCATTACTCCAGAAGGGTGATTTAGTCGTTTGCCCCGAAGGGACAACGTGCCGGGAGCCTTATTTACTTAGATTTAGCGCATTGTTCGCAGAGTTGAGCGACAGGATTGTGCCCGTGGCGGTGAACATTAAGCAGAACATGTTCTATGGCACAACAGTACGAGGTGTTAAATTCTGGGACGCTTACTTCTACTTCATGAACCCCCGGCCAACGTACGAGATCACATTCCTCGACCGGCTACCGGAGGCGATGACGTGCAAGGCAGGTAAGTCGTCGATCGAGGTTGCCAATCATGTTCAGAAGGTCTTGGGTAATGCTCTTGGATTTGAGTGCACTCAATTGACTAGGAAGGATAAGTACTTGCTGCTCGGTGGCAATGATGGGAAGGTGGAATCCATGTATTCCAAGAAATAAAATTGAATCAAATTCTCAGTAATTTGATCATATGCTAATGAGAGATCAAATCTTGCTTTGATAAAAGTTTAGGTTTGAGTAGGCAACAATTGTTATTTTTAGCAATGTTTATTCGTTTGTGTAGTAAAACTGCTTATGAATTCTGATGTTGCTGCTGCAGCCCCATATTGATGTAGTAAAATTCACTATAATTTCTTGATGATGCTTTGAATTCGAATATTTCATAAAGTACGGTAAATTCGTACACCATTTCTTGTACGTAGAATTAACTACCTTTTCTTGTCCAGTATTGTTCGATTCAACATTCATGAGCCATTAGGTTTCTACTACTATTCGAAGAGGGCGTTAGATAGATTTAGATTTATAAGCACACGTTTGGGCAAGTTATTTTATATTAGTAATCAGTAAATTATAGATTAGTTCAAAAATGATCGCTTTCAATGAGATAATCAACTCCGCAAATATCGACCAACCGACTTTTGGTCTATTAATTATACACGTGACTACTTGGAGGTGTATTCAATGTTGTGTTGAATTCGGTACAGTTGGTTGTTACATCTGCCTACTGGTATTATTATGTAGATTGGTAAAGAACCGTTGGAGTTGGTGGGAGGTTACCAAACTTAATGCTTAGTGGATAGATGTACGAACAATAAATTTGAATAGTTTGGTAGGTCAAATGTGGTATCTAAGTGTTTCAGACTTGTAAACTATACATAACACAATCTAAAGAAGTGCTAAATTTTGAATAAACTTCATTTACGATAACTATACTCTCATCCTCCCACCATCTCTCACTCTATATGTCTTCGTAGAACGTCCATACTCTTACCTTTTGTCTGGTATGTGACACTTGTTGCAGCCTACAAAATTGTACTCCTGACTTCCAAAGTATGCCCTAATCAGCCAAATATCCAAGTAAGCACTAACGATTAAAATTTTATTGCCTCCTTTATTTAACATAATCACTTCTTTTATTTTGCTTGTATCCTATATAAAGTGGTAATAGTCATGAGCTTGATTTGAAGTAAATGAAATAGAGAGATTTCCCAATTTTGTATCGATTGTTCTATATTCAATCTTGAATTAACGAACTTATGGTTATAAAATTCCCAGGTATTCGTAAAATCAAAGGGTCTTTGAACTTGTTTTTCAATTCTTTATGCTTCCACCTACACCTCTTTTGCATTTCAATTTTTAGGCAGATGATACCCTATACAAGTAATGTCATGGCAGATAAAAGCATGGACGTATCCAAGTTTGCTAATCACTTATTTCCTTTTTCTTTCCTGAGCCAGATCCTCCAGTCAAATCAAAAGAGTGAGGCATCAAGATTGGCTGGATTTCTTGACGCCAGAAATGCAGTAAATAAGCAGACTCCCAAAATCCAGGCTTCTCAGTAATGCTGTTCCTCTTGGTCCTGTCCTTGCTTCGAGTGTAGGTTGAGGAGGAACATGAAATGTCTCTTTCAAGGACACTGATTTCTAAATAGTTTTCTCTTTATATCTTCATTAGGAGTGATCCCTATGTCATCTAGCAGTTCACAATATTTCTTACATAATGGACTTCTTGGAGTTGGATTTCTCCAGGTTACAGTACTCAAAGCTTCGTGTAAAATATTTACAAAACCAGAGGACTTCTTGGAGTTATATCTTGGTAATTCAACGCGTAATTCCATTACAACACATCTACCAAATGTTTACCAACAGCTTTTACCTATATCAGAGTCAATGTATCATTATCAAATGTGATGCAATATTGAAGAGATACTATGATATTTAGTTTCCAATTTTGATATTTATTCTAGGAAACATAATAAGTGTTTTTATTTCGTTGATTTTTTAATAATTTCCTACTTAAATTAGTACTAGTTTAAACCCTAAATAAAGGGGTATGATGCTTTGTAATAGGACAACTTTTGATTATGAAATAAATTGATTTCTCTCCCTAATTTCTATCTTCTCCTCTTCCCCTCTTCTTCTCTATTTCCCCCTCCTTTCTCTTCTTCTCCCTCCTTTCCCCTTCTTCTACAATTCTTCTATTGTATTCGGCGTCAAAATGACTTCACATAAAAACGATTTCAGCGGAAAGAGTTTATGGAAGTATGTGATGCTTACAAATTCGTAAACATCTTTTCCAGCCCCGCTTGCATCTGCATAACTATGATAAATGAAAAAAATTCACAGGCCCAGTGCTTTATAATTAAAAATGCACAAGTTTCGAAAGAAATTGAAAATGAAAGCAACTAAAATGAATAAGGAAGAAAGAATTGTGTCTATAACATCTCTATCCACAGAAAGGTGTAAACAATATATTTACAATGCCTACACAAACTCATAAACCATTTGTACTTTATCAAGCAAGATCTTTAAGAGCACAAGAAGGCAAGATTCTTGATATAATACAAACCTCAACAGAGTCTTGACCTTTTTCCATGAGTGAACATAAGTGTACTCAGATGAACAACCACGAACTTAGCCTCAATTGCTCCGGTTCTAGGAACATCCCTCCATTTCATAGCAATTTCTGATACGATTTTCTGTCATAGAAAATGCAGATTAAAACCTCAACCATTCGACAGCTAAACAGGGATTGTTTTAGCCCAAATAAAGTATCAGAATGGCATAAGATCCCTAATTTGTATAGATCCTTAATGTAGTGTTTGACAGATTCGGAATAAGAATTAGAAACATTTCCATTCAAATGAATCAATTTTTCGAATTGAAACGTAATTTCAAGCAGCTTGGGAACCCTTTTTTTCTTCCTTATTGATAGAAGGTTATTAATTATCTTCAAAACTTTATCAGTAAATACAAATCTGAATAAAACCTAGCTCAGAACCACACAATCACACTCCGATCAGAAACACATTCTATTCCGGTAAACAATGCAATATAAATACCTCAAATTAAGTTAATTACCAGTACCTCACCTTGCTCCGGCCAGTGCAGTTTCGGAGCTTTACGAACCAGAATACGGGTCCTAATTGGCGCTTTATCATTTCATTTTGGATTTTAGAGACGCTCATTTTGTCAAAATCAGTAGGCGGCGGGTCGAAGTTGGGTTTCTTCTTGTTCTTGCCTCATTTTCTCGACGCCTCGTCCCCCTCATCATTAACTTCGTCGTCTAGGTCATCGGAAATGTAGTTCCTCCACTTCGCTGCATCGGCAAATCTGTACATTGTGCATGCTTGGGTGGCGATTAGGAGCAGAAGGAAGAGGCAAAGGGATCTTATCTTCATCATCGACGTGGGCATCAATGGAGTTTGGTTACAAGTATCTAAAATAACGATATGCATGATCATGTGTATGATTTATATCGTTTCTTTCACCATGCGCTTGTTCTCAAAATTTACGTCTTTCCCACTATCCTCCCTACTCTCTGGTTCAATATTATTCCTCTTTTATCCCTTGAGCTCCAATTTCCATTCTGCTGTCATACTTAATCTCTTAGGCCCCGTTTGATTACACGAAATTTTCCATGGAACTTGGAATTCGAATTCCAACTTCCACTTTT